GTAAGGTTTATTTTTGACGAACGTAAATTTAAAGTACATTCGAGTAACAGCTTTTTACTACAGATTCCCAACGCCAATTTCAATCTCAATTCCTTGAGTAAAATACAAAATGCGGACATTTAGATTTCCTCACGGTTTGTCTATTTTGTGCTCTTATTGCAAAGAACGCATGAAAAAGTAATGTAACAATAAATTTCAGAGCTGAGACTTCTTTTTCGCAGAAATAGCCGACGTTACAAAATAGATGAATGATTCCCTTCCAGACCTTCTCTCAACCTAAGATTCGTAATGGTTGGTCGACTGTTGGAAGCAGTATCCATCAAGACGGCCTCACAACATTGAGTTGTTTTTTGAGACGCCATTTCTAACTTATCCTCATTCGATATCCTTCGTGTATGACTGAGTGACTCCTGAAAGCCACATTCTGTCGCTCATATGAGACATTCGTTTCGGCATCCTGAAAAAAAAAAGATCACGTCCGTTCTTTGACGTAGGAACTCTGTGCTTTCGACAAAGAATCGCCATTTTCCGGACTATTTTTCTTTGTATAAAGAGACTTTGTGTCTCTACAAAGAATATGATTCTGGTTCTCCTGGGGTTGTAGAAATATATTTCCCATCGAGCCAGGATGACGCAGGTTCTTTCAAGAGGTAAAATGTTTTACAATCGGGAGATCCACATTTCAGAACTTGTCTTCACGAACATCTCCTTACAAATACTAGTATAATAACTTAAAGTAGGTCATGTCCACTTCCACATTCTTCCAGATTCATGGTGTACATTAATCCACTTGACATTGTTTCAGCGCGGTTGATATAGCGTCTTTAAATAAACATCTAGGCTACCAGCGAGCTGGATAGCATGGCGGTACAGCAATATAACGGTCTAAAATAATCCAAAGTGTGAGCAACCATTCCAAGAAAATGTCGATTTACAAACAGCATATTTTCTCAATTGTAAGAGTATCGAGTTTAAGACCACTATTGATTTAGTAGTAAGGTGTCAGGAAAAAATACGATATATCGATTCTTAGACGTCATCAAAAATAAGGCGCACCCCGATTTCAGAAAGTTTAAAACGCGGAAAACGTGTGTCTTAAAAAATCTAGGAAATACAATACTACCATCAAATAGACCACGACCACTTCATATCAACTCCATTCGAATTTTGCTCTTTTATACAACGTCGTTGGATAACAGCAAAGAACTGAAACTAGTGTGTGTTAACATATTTTAAGCTCGAATGGTAATTTAATTACTACCTACTTTAACCCTAGATAACTCTCATAGAGTGTACCTGCAGGTTTCATTTACTTATAGTGTAAACAGCGTTTACTTCCCTTAACAGAGGTAGTCAATTTTATCGTATAGTATAACAGTTGTGTTTTCTTTGAGGTACGGACTGAATTCTTAAATGTAATTTAAACGAGCTTCGAATTTAATTAGGCAAAGTTGTCCCTGGCGCTTGATTAAACACCACATAGATGTATTGCGGAGAGGAGATAAAGCTTCACCCACACATTCTTAACCTCGGAAGTAGATGAAAGCGAGTGGTTACCTGAACGTCCCAGCCGCTTTACTCAAAGTAAGTTATATGGAACTTAACTGAAGTATCATATATTGCCCTCGGTTTGTTTGGTAATATATTCACGTATGAAGCTGTGAAACTAGTCTGCCAGAAACATGTGCCTTCCTGTAGTTGAGATTGCAGTAAAGTTCCTTGTATTCTTGACCTCGACACCAGACCGAGGTGAATGGACAGCTTCTCTTTTCGAGGACAGACTCGCCTACGCTTAGCCTGTTGCACGTGGGGCGAAGTGTGTCGCAGACCTCTTTGGACCCAGTAGCGAAAAGACGAATTCGCTCTCTCTGCATTCGCAACCATTGTCGTTCACTCAACAGGCAGTCATTTACTAACCGAGGCAACTTGATACACAAGCAAACTTTGCTGACACTGAAGTGGGCGAGATGTAGATGGCTGTCTTCTGGGTTGCAGCGACGATTCAGAGGTCCTTACTACCTCCATCATCATGGCTTAATTTATTACTGGTAAATAATGTACCTAAAAAAAGTGAAGATTTGCATATATTATGTTTCACTCTTCACAGATCTTAACACGAAAACCATCTTCTACTGATTTTAATATCTTGTGTCTGAGAATGTCAGTTAAATTGTAAAATTTATTTTCTGGCTAGTTAATAGCAACATGGCTGCCGGATACCAGGTTCTGAGGTTTTGTTTGTGGTTGTAGTGTTTCGGGGGCATGGGGACAGTGGTTTTAGCAATATTGATTGTGGTGAGGGAGAGTTCTTGGTTCTGTTTGATGTGTTCGTTTCCTGAAGGCCTGCGGGCCTCACCTGTCGCTTCCATATGCTGAACGTGTAGAGAATATATCAACTCTCTGGCATGCGATGGAAGCCTGAGAGTGTATTAAGCAAGTAGGTGGCGTTATTAGGTGTTCTTCGCGCTCTGGCGTGATCAAAGAACACTTTATGGGCCCGTTCATTTTTCTTATTCATAGGAATTAGGAAACCCGAATGATGTTATCTTAGCAACTTTATTGAATATTTTCGGGAAAAATATCACGTTAAAAACTTTGATGGATTAAAAATACTTTTTTCCTTTCCTATTGTGCTCTACAAGAAAGACTGTTGTTGCCAGAAAATTTTAAATTTTTGAATAAATTGTATATTGGGCGTCCTTTGTAACATTTCGTAATGTTAATTTTGTTTAAAGTCGTAGTTCTGCTGGATGATATTCGAGGTTTTCACTGCGGCGAGCATGAATATGACTTGTCTTCTGGGATATTGTACCGTGTAGTCTTGTAGAAATTTACCGAAGTTTATAAAACTAAACGGAGCAATGTCACAGAAAAGAGTCATCCTCAGATTTCTGCTGATTTATTGAAAAGACTGATTTATCTTTTCACTTCTTGTTATTCTAATCTTTGTCAGTTTTGGGGGGGGGGGTTAAACTTAGCTTCTCCCTTATTTTATATTTTAAGATGTATATAATCCAATCATAAAATTAACTTTTTGTTTCTATGGTAACAAAAAAGCAACCAGTAACTTTTTTGCAAGAACAAAGAAGGATGTCAAACAACTTTTCTCATCTGTTCAGCCCGCCATTGATTTCCATGTAGTAGATTGTCCAATGATCCGTTAAACCTAGTCTTGAATCATTAGATCCTGAAACTCACGATTACACAGCATCCTAACTCCATGAAGGGCCTTCTTCTGTATCTGCCCAATTAATGTCTCTCCTGTCCTCGATTTATTCAATCGAAATTTCCCTAGTGGTTCGATCCCCTATCGAACTTTCAGCAACACACCCTTAGGTCTACTCAGATAGAACGTCACCCTCGTTAGTTACCGTGATCACAGTTCGAAAGCTAGTATTGTTCAACGGTACTTCACCCGCCAGTCTCCTACACTGAACAGACACTTTTGAATCAGCACCACACCGTGATGGTATAAACAACATGCTAGTAACGCTACACGAATTCCAGTCCTAGGCGAGAGGCCAGCTTCTTACTGCGGCAAATTTTACCTCCACGCGACAAAGCTATGATCGTCATTCAACAGGGAATTCCATGGACTCAAGATCCGTTCTGCACGTGGTCGCGAGTAGAAAATTCCTTGCTCATACTTGGAATCGAACCCCAGTCGTCATACCCTAAGCCATTCAAATGCGTAATCGTAATTATACACTTCTCTATGAATTTGAGTACTGTGTAATATCACAGAAAGAGAAATTACTCACATTTCTCCTTTGAACGAACTCGGTGAGATCAGCGTGGTTTTTTTTAAATATAGGTACCAACAGAAAAGTGCCGATTAATTACCTTATCTTTGGCTAGTAGGGGCTCTGAAACAGATTTTTCCCACAAACATAGGCCTATTTGAGTGCCCTGAAGCACACTGAATGTGTCGATACCTTCATTTACTGAACATCAAAGCAACTTAAATTAATAGGTTTTTAGTATTATTTTTACGCGTGACAAAGCAGAGGAATGGACAGTGCATACTGTACTTAATTTTTTTTTAAATTTGTCCACTGGTTTATTTGACGACATGTTCTCAGCTACGACAGTTTTATAGCGTCAGATGAGCGGATAATTGTGCGTATGGAATTAGGAAATATGTACAAGAATTTTTGTTAAATAGTTTAAAGTACTAATGTGTATAAAATGTAACACGTTATAAAAGGCATTGCTGTTAATAATGTCGGGAAAATGTTTCTGGCATGACGGAATTATTTTCACAGGCCGCTTTCGGTCCATGAGCCATAGTTTGCACACTTCAGTCCCACAGAGTTACGATTGCATTAATTTCCTTTTTATTTCGGCTCACGATGTAAGAATTATTTATTAAACGATATTTACTCTTTGATGTAAAACACTTAATAACACCTGTCTATAATATAATTTAGTACCATCTGAAATGTATGAGCTGGGATAGCTCAGTCAGTATAGTGACTAGCTACGGGCTGGACGACCGGGGTTCGATCCCCGACGGGGGCTCCTCTACAATGGGTACCGGGGTCCTTTCCCGGGGGTAAAGCCGGCCGGGGCGTGATGCTGACCACTCACCCCCATCTAGTGCCGAGGTCAAGGAAGAGAGGAGCTATACCTCCACTCACCCCAAATGCCTACATGGGGTGTAGTGGGACAAACTTTACTTTACTTTTTAACATGTAAAATGTATTGAAGGGTGTTGTTTAGTTACAAAAGAAGTCAGCAATGAGAAAGTTCTTTTAAAATTTAGTTTGTTTTATAATAATATCCATTGACGAGCCATAAAACAGCTGAACCAAGTCGTGACGAAACTCAATATTATTAAATCTCCTCACCAATTACACTACAATGCTAAGGTGTTTTTATAATAATAAATATGCGTCAGTTGTATAACATAGTAAAATTTTTTTTTTCCAGTTTTAGGTCGTCTGGCATCGTATTACTAGCCACGCCCGAGCATTCTGCACTACTGTCTTTTGTTTCAGGATACTCTGCCGCTGCGCTCCTCGCCATCTTGTTCGCCATCCCGTTCTGTTTGCGGTTGCGGATTTACAAAGACTCCGGCAGGTGGAACAATCTGCCACAGGCCTTCTACCACGAGCACCTTGAACTGTTTCTGGGAAACGCCTGTCTCGGTAACCATTTGCATTTTTTCCCCCGAACCACCTGAACGTTCGAGGGTGTGCGATTTGGACTATCAATAAGAAAAAAAGTAAAATGAAAACATTTGCATCTATCAAAGTGCTTGGGTGGGAAAGAAATTTTCATTTATTTTCCTCGCTAAGTACAGGATCCTGACTGATAACCGTAGTTTCAATATCTGTTCTGTGCTCAGGTGTCGGCGTCATGATGCTTCTGGCCCTCACAGTGGAGCGCTACATATCCGTGTGTCACCCGGGACGCACCCAGCCCCTGATCGGGCCCCCTCGCCTCATCGTGTGTCTCATCCCCCTCCTGACATTCCTGATATACCTCCCGAACGCCTTTCGCTACGAACTGAGGCCCTGCTTGCTCTCGCCAGGCGGACCGCTTTTCTACCAGCGAGAGGACAACAAACGCTTGCTCGATTCTGTCATCTATTCCACCTACAAGGTAACAAAAGGAAGCAGCTACTGCTCTGCTTCACCTCCTACACTAACTCTCACAATTCTTTGATACATTCCTCTTGAATGTAGAAAGAGAAAAATAAATTTCAGGTCTTATTTGTACCATTATTTCTCCTCGCCCTCAATTCGCATCTTTATATTTCAGATATAGGAGGTGCGATCGGAAAGTTTCTAGACTGCGCCTATAAAAACCCGTACACTTATCTCAGGTATTAAATTCATCCATCACCCTCGAAGTAGTTCCCCTGGGACTGAACACAACGATCCCAGCGCCGCTGCCAAGCCTGGAAGCATCCCTGGAAATCTTTCTTTGTCAGCCTGTCAAGCACCATCTGCGATTCTGCCTGAATCTCTTCTATCGTCTCAAATCTCCTTCCCTTTAGCTGAATTTTCATCTTTGGGAAGAGGAAGAAGTCACACAGCGAATAAGGAGGGTGCGGGATGAAGGCCATGGTGTTTGAGGCCAAAAACTGCCGAACTTTGAGGGCGGTGTGCGCGGGCGCGTTGTCATGATGCGTCGCATGTGGAGTTCTTCCTTTAGAATCAGCGGACAGGTCCCATAGCCTATCCCAACAATGGCGCACAAGTCGTTGATGGTACGACGATGGTCGATCTTCGTGAATGGCCTGCCGAATCTTCCTAACATTTTCGGGCGTTGTGCTCGAAGATGGTCGTCCAGAACGCTCGTCATCATCGACAGAGGTTCGGCCATTTTTAAAACGTGAATGCCACACAAAAGTTTGCGGACTCCCCAAATGCTTGCTTGAG